AGCTTTTGGGACAAAAAAATATTTCCAAACATTTCAATTCAAATGCAAATGCACTTCGAACGTCAATTGCGAATCTCTTCCGAATATCTTGGAATGGTCACCCAGTGAGCATCTGTGACAACGTAGACGCAATCAGCTGTTCAAACGATCATGTTCCTTGGGTAAGTTTTCGGATCAGGATGCTCAGGTTAGATAACTTTGCTCCAATCTCAGGCTATAGAGAGGGATAGTTTCTAAAGAAACTGTAGTGCTGCGCAGTGGAGGCCAGAGTATGACAAGATAATTTGGTTTTATCAACTTAGTTGATAATATAAATTGGCCAACGTTAAGAGTTTCAAAGCTGACGTTTCGAGCGTTAGCCCTTTCTCAGAGCAGAGGGCTAAAGAAGGGCTAACGAAGGGCTAACGCTCGAAACGTCAGCTCTGAAACTCCTTAAGGTGCCCCAATCTAGACGAGTTATCATAACTCGCGGCTTCGCCGTTGGCACTACAGCGCCAATGACACGCTCTCAGGCTGAATGTGCCATGTTCATGTGCGTGCAAAATAGGAAAAGGAGTCTAAGAATTTAATTAGCGAAAATTTCCCGAGCAAAGTTTTAGCAATTCGTCAAGTCCATCTCAGCGCAGATTTTCATTGGTCTGTCTTGGCTGATGATTTGAAAGGTGTACAATTAATATGTCGAAATTAACTTTCTCGTAGTGTGATTTAAATATTGCTTCAAGACAGAGCCAGGTTACTATGCTATTTATGAACAGTGTAATAAGTATTCGGAGATGAGCTTGACTGCGTTGACGTTCGCTTAATTTTTATTTGAGATCACTGCATTAATTCACGTCATTTCAAAACACACACGAAGAAAAGTCTTTCAAGTCTTCGAGTTCACGATAGATTTATTTGAAAATTACTGCGTAAATGGTGACAGCATTTGCCATAAACGTGACGACAATATTCAAGGTTAGTAAATTCTGTGTATGTTTCTCGTAGACTAATGTAAAACAAGTTCTTTCACGATCAGTTCAACAGATAATATTTTAGGGCAATATTAGACGGGTTTCAAAACAGTAACTGAACGCTCGGTTGAATGAATAAAGAGCATTATGCTGGCTTCAGGCAGTATTTCGTAACTTTTTGTTGCTTAGACATAAAAAAATTGTAATGTGATTGTTCGAAAGCCAGTGTTGATTTTCGTGCACCAAGTCAGCCACGCCAGAAGGACTCCATACATTTTTGATTACGGTTTTCAACATGTTCTCATAATCACCCTAATACATAAAAAGCCATTCAACCTTTATGTCTAGTGAAATTGCAGCAGAATGTGTGGCGTTTGAAAGGACGCCACACAGTTTTTTTTTTTACTTATTTAAGTCTGTTTAGATATTTCTGGTCAAGAACCAAAACACTTAAAAAACAACCTCCATATACAAAAGGCAATTATTGATGGATAGTAATTACGTAGTCCATCAGAGTCGTTAAATTATCAGATCATGCATTGTCGGGAGCGTAAATAGTCAGTCGTTTGCCACCTGACGTGATTAAGGATCAGTCACGATAGCAATGCCAAAGAAGATGGCGATTCAAAAGTGAATTTGTATTTTTAGTCAAAATTTCACGAATGGCTAGACGTGCTTGCCGTCTCTTACAGCGCCACACATCTATACTTCAGAAAAAACGGATGTCAGCAACATTAAATTTCAAATTGAAACTGAGTTAATTAACCGTCGGAGTTTCTGTTCTCAGAAATTCAAATTTTGGTGATTTCACTTTGTTGGCAAAGGCACAGAGTTTTCAAGCGCACGTGCTGAGCTATTATCCTGCTCATAAGATCTTTTGTCTTGGCACGTGACTTTTACGAAAAAGCCGAAGAATGTTTGTAACGTCATAGCTTTTATTCAAGGTCATTTGTAAAACATGGACAGCAATCGCCAATTTTGTTTCTTGTCATTTTTGCATTTTACAGATTTTTTTACCCCGCAGGACTGAAGATACTTAAAACTTTAAAATTAAGTCTTAAATTATTCCATTGTTCAATTGGTGTTGCTTGCCTTTCCAGCTGAGTGTTTTATGAACGTGTAGCATGAAGATTTTGCAGGAGTTTAAAATTTTGTGGTGATAATCACTACTCAATAAAAAAGGCTACCAAGCAAAAAGTTTTCCCTTTTCCCATGCGGTTTGACGTCAAAATGCCATAAAACAAAAGTGTGGCTCATAAATCGCTGGTGTACGTGTACTATAAGTAAACATTCTTAGACAAAGAAATTGCCCATGTTGACGTCATATTTGCGTCTGTTCTCCCTAAATGATTGGTGGGAACCAATCAAATCCACGTCAAAATAAAAATATTTTTCTTATATTTGTTTCCTCTTCGTCTCCCCCAGGTAGATCAACCCTCAAAGCGCTGACGTTGTGAAAGCCATCTTTGTGGATAATGCGTTTATTAAGTAATTTTTTTTTGTGGAGCTTTTACACGTATAACGGTTTTTTCTCTGTCCGTCTTCTCGTACTTGTCTTACTTTATTGCTTACAAAAGAAACTGTGGCTGATTAACATCAGTTAAGTGATGGCGAGCACTGAAATAGAATCATGCTGTGCATTCATTGCATTTACGCGATAATTCTGGTAGTCTGTCTCACGCACTTTTTGCAGACAACCTCGAGAAAAGTTACAGCTTAGCTTCAGGGTAAATTATTAGACGTTTTTGACGCGTAAACTTTTTCTTCTTTCAGGATATTTGATTCGTTTGAAGAGAAGGAAGAAACAGCCACGAAGTAGAACCGAGGGATGTCAAAGAATATCTGAACTGAAAGGTACCTCTCTTTGATTTAAACTTCGGAATTTCGGTGCCTGCAAATGTTCGCAGACTACTCATTACGATCTTAAAAAACTTTGCGGACTGACGCGTACGGTTAGTGCGCCTTGCTCCAAATCGTAGAGACTGGGTTCGAGCCGTGGCCTGTTTATCGCATTCTGTTCCATGTATACCTTCAAAGTGCCTCTCTCCAACCAAGAGTAACAATGAGTACCGGCCAATTGTCAGGTGAAGCTGACAAAATTCTGGGTGTTTACTTGTCAATGTACTTGAGTCCACTCCTACTCGCCTCGTGCTTCTGAGCGTTCTAGGAGACAGTGCGAGGTTATCTGTCTTTAGCATAATTGTTCCGGTGATTTTGGCGATACGCGCCGGGGGCACTCCGCTAGGTCGAGGATTGCGTCATATCTCGCTTTATAATAAAGTGCGGATATAACGCGCGCTGTCATTGGTTGAAAGAGCGTGCTCTATGAGATTAGAGAGCATAGAGCTGAGCTAAAGCTGTCACGCCATCTGTCAAACTGTACTATGTTCGACATAATTGAAAGTGAAATTTCGGAACTGAAGCGAGCCGGCGAGTAGCAACAGAAGAACCAAACAAAGGTTTTTAAACATACCAGGCGCCGTAATTTACGTTATTAAAACGTGAGCAGATACGAAAATCCTCAAAGGGAAAACAAAATAAACATTCCGAGTTTTAAAGATTTTCACGCTCAGTTGGATTGCAAGCTTACGTACGGTAATAAAAATCAAACACAGCTAGCACTCGTATAGTATATAAAGTTCAGTGTTCAAAAAACAAAACAGAACAAAACAAAAATGATGAAAAATATAACCAAACTGGCATAATTGTTAAAATTCATACCAATCATGACGGTGTCTGACCGAATATGATCATGCTGAAGTTCATCGCGGCTCGCTCATCATGGCGATCTCCGGTCATCACAGTAAAGCAAGCCTCAGAAACTACATCGGCCGCCCTTCGAGTGAAAAAATAAGAGCTTGCTCTGATATCCTTTCCGATAAGTTGAGTGGAAAGTCACATCAGTCATTGCAGCCGAGTTTTGCGGCGCTGTCATCCCAAGCGATCTTCATGTTCCGGTGAATTCGGCTGTCGCTCATTCAAAAAACACTCGCCTTGAACAGTTTGTTTTCTACCTTGTCATGTGAAAAAACTCACGCGTTTTTATGAGCCATAATTAGGCTGAAGTTCAGTGAACATTTCACCTCAAGATTCTGTGTTAGAGACTTAAAAACTTCAGGCAAGTGTTAAATTCGACTTGCCGAACTATTTTAGTTTGTAAACTATCGTAGAATGTGAACTTTGATGGTTTGACACTTTTCACAGCTTTAGTCTTGTACAGCCAATCAGATTATTTGAACCATTCTAACAAGGATTCTGATTGGCTTATTGTAGCGTGCTTTGTGAGGGTATAGAGCATGCTGACGACACTGTTCTTCGCTTTGGAAATAAAGTTTGTTTTGGAAATTAAAAGTAATGCTGGGGTAATTTAACGGATTCTTCATTATAAAACAAATAGAGAAGCCTTGACTGTGCTCTGTTCTGTTATATAGCACCTAGGAAGCGGCTAGAGCACTCAACTACGCCTCGTGTTTCTCCCTACACTTCTTTCGTGCTCTAGCCGCTTCCTGCGTGCTTTATAACAGAACAGAGCACAGTCAAGGCTTCTCTATTTGTTAAATAATCACCTTGCGCGAGGTGATAGTAGCTGGGTGCTAAATTTTAAAATGGTTGTCCCGTGTTTTGTCAATGTTACACTGGAAGTGAAACGGAGCAATAGCAAAAGATTCAACTCTGATGAGCACAAAAGGTGCTTTTTAGTATGACGTAATACTATGCAAAAGAAAGATATGAAGTTTTTTTATGATTGAAATGAATAAGCCTGTTAAATTTTGGTGGAAACTGGCTGTTAATCTCGATAGGAGGAATCAAAACAATCATAAATGAATAGTTTTAGTAACAAAACAAATTTACAACAGAATTCGAAAGCATCTGAACAATTATACTCAAACAATTATTCGCCTCAGGCTTGGTGAATGTTGTTGAATAATCCCCTTCGACAATTATTCAACGGTATTCACCTCGCCTCCGGCGAATAATTGGTTATTAAACTACATTAGGAGCAATCTATATTCAATTATCATGAATCTGATTTAAAAACTATTGACTATTCTAGGTAGCGTTTTCGTGAGCGAAAAGAAGAAGGAATGGAATCAACTCCACACCGCTGCAAGAGAAGGTGATATCAGCAAAATGGAATCCCTCCTCTCTGATGGAATTTGTATTGACTCACAAGAAAGCACTCATAAGACGCCATTGATGATCGCAGCTTTTAATGGCAAGCTACGGGCTGTTAGATATCTGATTGAAAACGGAGCAGATATGTCGATAGTAGATAACAGTGGATGGAACTCGTTACATTTTGCTTCACAAGGGGGTGACCCTGATATGATTGATCTGATAGCCAGTCACGTGGCTGATATTGATTCACTTGCTAGTGAGGCTTTCACTCCGCTTATGGTTGCCTCTGATAATGGCCGTCTCCAGGCCGTGAAGTATCTTCTAAAATCGGGAGCAGATCTCTCGTTGAAAGACGGCAATGGCTGGAAACCTGTACACCACGCCGCACGAGGTGGCAATCCCGCCGTCATAGAACTGTTCCTTTGTGAAGTGGAAGAAATCGACCTCAGGGCCAACCGAGGTGAAACGCCATTAATGATTGCTGGTTACTATGGGAACCTCCAGGCTGTAAAGTACTTTCTGGAAAAGGGTGCTGACCCGTCTCTAAAAGACAAGAAGGGATGGAATTCGTTGCATCATGCCTCAAGAGGAGTGAATCCCGACGTTATTGAACTTTTTCTGAGGTGTATGGCGGATGATGCAATCGACTCCATGACAGATCAGTGGTATACACCATTAATGATCGCTGCTGGAAATGGTAGGCTTCAGATCGTAGAATTTCTCATGCGAAAAAATGCATGTCCGTACGCCCGTGACAGCAATGGATATTCCCCATATGACTGGGCTTTGCATAGTCAAGAACCACGTATGCTAGATTATTTATTTGAGCGACCCGCATTGGCGTTTGAAATTCAAATTTTTAAAGAGCGTATGACTGAGTATTGCGATTCATAAATAATGAAAACACGCAAGGGAAGTCAATTCACACATCCAAAATAATGGCAAATAAAAGGAGTGAAAAAATGGAATTGGTTTCAACATGGCTCAAGGGCTGTGAACTCAGATATCGCTCAGCCATCTCTTAGCTATATGCTTTACATTAAAACTACAGCTGATCAGCGGTTTAAAACATTTTTCCTTAAAACTAATTCGTCCTCAGTCGCCTCTCTACTTTTAGGTGTTACGAAAGATTGGCACGAGTCCCCTTCCTTCCCAGCGTCTCCTAGTATCAGTCTCCCGCGATCCCGCCGCCGCGTACGAGACGAATGGAGACAAGTCAGATGTCATGTTTGAAGTTCTACGAGTCTCTCAACATCAGTACGCATATTCCCCTTACTGTTCTCCATACATTTCTTAAGGCAACGACAAGGAGAATTTGGTATAACAATCAAACGCTTCTTTAAATGGTGATTATTTCCTTGACACTCGTGGCCTTAATGTTTGCTTCAGGGGCAAAATTGTTCGGAGAAATTAGGGGTAGTCACTCTTAAGAATTCAAAAGGTTATGGAGTAGTCACAAAACACAAATAAAATACAAGATGGTTTTTTTTCTCAACATTTATTTAAGATAAAATTATACGATTTAACAGAAGGCCGCTTCGAAAATAGCTGTATTTAGTAATAAATATGAGCGGCGTGGTTTATAATTTACTCTTCTCCTAAAAATTTTCGTCCGGCAAGCAAGAAAAAGAGGATAGTTTCTTCCATAGGAAGAGAATTGACGGTAAACAGTCGGGTGAATTTGTCAAACAGTGAAAGTAAGCGAAGATCTTAATACTGTTCTTTTTCTGTTACAAAAAAAAATATTATCTCGTGAAACACATGGGTAAGACTACTTTCGATGGAATAAACCATAGCGAATAGTGATTTTGTAACTTTATAAGCGTGGCTTGTGATCAAGTTGTGTCGACAAGTTTTCTGCGAGGTTCTGTGCATGTAAAAACGTATCCTCTACTAACAAATTCTCCCAGTAAGAGGAGAAAACTCAATCGAGCGTGAAATGATTTGCTAAGTGTACTGTCTGGAAAGGAAAATTGAGAAAGAAAACCTCTTTGCCTATGCGAAAGCATGAAAGTACTCCTCGCAAGTTTTCTGCCCCAGCTATTCTGTTCCAAATCCTGCTGAATATTTTCAATGTACTAGGTTCCACTCCTGAAGAGTGATTCATTTTTAACGATTATGGTTGGTTTTGTGTTAAGAACACTTTAAATGAAAACCCGGGGAAATTCCACTTCTGAGTTAAGGACTTCAGTTACACACAGACAAGTTAACTTTACTTCGTGGTGAGTAGCTCCTGATGGTTGATGTCACGCTAGTAGAGGTTCTGTCGTGATGACATCTGAATGTAACACAAGTCTTCAATTTCACAGAGAATATTTCTGCTTCAGTATGCCTTCCGTCGAATAACACAGAATACACACATTCCAGCGGTATTGGTGTGGACATGGTGGTGATGATGATGATGTTGAAATAACATCGAAGCATGTAACAAGCATCGCTTGAGGGCAACTTGAATCTTATCAAGCGTGACACTTCATGCTCAGCCAACAAGTGTTATACTCTGCGGGGCATGGGTACCAGCTACTGCCAGCAGTAAAGGTACATCGTTGTCATCCACACTGAAAAAAAAAATTAAGAGAAAAACTTACCATCGATCTGAAGTACCCTCCAAAAATAGCTAACAATTCCAAGCCAAAATATAAAAAACACGAAGGTGGCAAATGACAATTCTAGCAAGTTGTTTTTAAGTGCTGAAAAATTCGCAAAGAAATAAATTGCAAACCTGTTCCCTCCGTGCGAGCTGGGCCCCCACCACGCCCAGTTCCCCCTTACCCTCTTCCTTCCCAACAGACACACACAAACTCTCTGAATGAAAACTCTAATTAGAGAGACTGTTTGTGTAAAATATCTCACGATGAATTACTATAAGAGGTACGGATTCTTTCGAGGAAGGGAAGGAGGGGGAGGAGGGGGTAGTGCGACGGTGACAAAATGGAAAAGAGGGGGAGGTCTCATAATTATTTCCTATTTACCTGAGCATATTTGTGAGATCATCACGTGTCAATACCTTTCGTCTGTCCCTCAATCTCTCTGTTATTACCTGTTGTAAGAATCAAAACGGATTCCACAATTGGTCACTGTGTTTGCACGCCTGAACCTATTTAGTCACTAGGGTAATAAGCTCACTGTGCCTGTAACTCAAAAAAGGGTTCTGTGATCATAATTTAATATTATTTCATTGCAATTAACTTATAAAGATAAATCATTTGAGAAAGTTTAGAAGAAAAAAATTGCAAATAAGATATTCAGAGCCTTCGGTAACCTTAAAAAATTAGAAAAAAATGGACTTATTTTCAAAAGCTAAGTCTTGAAAACAACTTGTCTCTTTCGCGGCTAGTGTTTGATCGTGTTACGCAACACCAAAGTGCCACGTGACAAAAACCAAACAATAGCTCCTAGCGAGACAGCATTGCAGCCATTTGAGCAATTTTCAATTGAGTGTTGACGGGAGATTGCTGTAATTGGTCCAGAAAACTCGCGCCCATCTCTCAACCAATCAGATGCAAAGCTAAAACCACTTACGACTTTGTCGCCGACGTTTTCCCGCGCTGTTAGCAGTTTGGTCGGTTTTACTATGGGTTCCCATTGGCTCCTAAAACTATTTTCCTTTCTTCTGATTGGTTTACGACAATTAACCGACAAGCGCTCCATGGAGCAAAGAATATAAGATGCCAACCTACCTTGCTCTTCAGATATATCTCTTTCAGTTTATCTTCCAAGTGCATTAAACACTATAAAAGTGAACAAAAACGCTATGATTACATTTAAAGCAATAGCTAACCAATATCAATTTCTTCAAATTCACTAAATCATGTAATTCAAGAAGGCTTTTGCTGATGAACATGGTATAACACGTCATTCTGACTGAGTTGAAGCCTAGAGGGTCATAACCCAGATTTTAATTTATTTTTTTGAAGCAAAAAACACGGTTGTGGTGATGTGAGCCTGGGCGAAGTACAAAGTTTACATGAAACCTGTAGGCTCACGAGGAAGCTCTAAAAAATAAACAGACAATTATATTTCCCCTGAAACTACTTTTTTGTTTAACTTACAAGAAAAGTAACAATTGTTCCATGTAGCTATGGGTGTCAACCTCGAGCAATCGAACACCTGTATTTTAGCTCCCATTCAAGCATATTTATCAATCTATTTCAAAAAGATAAATTTACCCAGCAAAAGTAGAAACAACAGATCCGAACTTACAAACTCTGCCGACATTTTGATGTCCCATAAGCCGCTGACGGAAGATAACATGGATAACACTAAGTTGGATACTTCTACTTGTTGTTCATGGTGAATGGGATCGCTAGAAGAATAAATCACAGCAAACAAGTTGAGCATCAAGGCGAAGATTAAATTGCAAATTAATTGGAAAAAAACAAACAAACAAACATACACAAAATAAGAATACTAGTTCCTCCTTTAATCCAATACTGAAGTGAAGGCACGACTTTCTACGACAAATGTTGATTAAGTGGTGATTCTTCAACCTTTCACATCCAATTTCAGAATAACATTCATCGAAAATGTGTTGTCTCATTGCTTCCTGATTCAAAAAACCTGTCTAACTTCCAGTGTTCAAAAACTGTACGGTAGAAAGCATCTGGGTACTGATCTCTGATTAAAAATACAGGTATATTCTTACCAAGTTGGCTGTTTCCGATTCTTTTTCATGGAGACAACTTCACAAGTCCTACAACAAAAGCCACGCGGTGAATTTCAAAATTACCACAAACGTTTTCATAAGAAACGTGTTTCGAAAATAAGGACTCAGATTGATTTTTCCGGGTCTCCAAATTTCACGTTAAACCCTTCCATTCCCAAAATGTCAAAATCAATTCTCCTCATGCTCGACACACGTAACGTATATATAACGTACGTAACGTATATAACGTATAACGTACGTTACGTTACGTAGATATATATCTGAAAACTTTATCGCACGAGTTCAACAGATTTCCATGACTTTCCAGAACCTGTAGTCTTTTTCCAGGACTTCCCAGTCCTGGAAAATGTCAAAATAAGATTCCAGGACTTTCCAGGTTTTCCAGGACCCGTGCGCACCCTGATAATTGCCTTTCTCCTCATTGAATTATTGTGGTAAGTTGAAACTCTGTTTTTTTGCATCGTTTTTCATTTCAAATCTCTTGAGACACACAAGGCCTTCAACTGACCCTAATTTTGCAATTAGTTCCTTGTCATTTTAATATATCGAGGCTGCGGTCATTTTTGTGAAAGTCACACAAACTGTTGGGAGCATTAATGAATGATTCGCACTTACCATTTATCGGTGTTAGCAATGATACACACTGCTTCTGAGACCGGATCATCCACAACTGAGTGCTGTGAAAAAAAAATTATTAAAGCGCTGTTATTTATCGTTTGTTCCCTGAGGTTAGTTAAATGTCATGCAATTGCAACAATATTTTATGGCAAAGAACACTATTGCCAAGATTTCAGCAAGCTAGACCAGCCTAAAAGGATTTTCCTTTCAGGCCGGCGACCAGCAATTTTCATCATCTGTGAATCTCCTAGAGTCTAATGCGCTACCGAAAAAGCCATATGCTTTCGGGTCTGTATCAGCTCTACATCAAAAATATTTCCCTGACATGTTTCTTAACAGTGTCCATTTAGGTAAAAAAGTGTTAATAGCTGATGAATGCATGCACGTCGAGAGAATTACACATAACTATGATGATGGGCAAAGATGGAAATTATCATACTACTCACCTGCAATGCAAGCTTTAGGTCAGCTGATAGTCTTCCTCGAAAGTCATTTTCCTGAACACCCTGAAGAACCAAGTCTGGCAGATAACTGTCCACAATTCTGAATTCAAAGAGAGGAATCATATTGGAATAAATAACTCTAAACTGCGGTCTTTGAAATCTTGAAAATTCTACACACCATGATTAAATCAAACAGACAAATTTACCAATATACCAGTTTTTAAGTATAGCAAAATTAACATGTAGAAGTCTTTCAACTAACCCTGCAAACATTGATCGTCCAAAGTTGTTAAAGATTTTCCAATCATCTGATTTGCTGTGGAGTAAAATATTAGGTACATTTAATATTTTTATTTCACAAATGGATTCCATGTTCCTGCACATCTACTTGAAAGCTTAAATAATAGATTCCATGATACTGTTTAGCTAAGAACACAAATAACATCCAAATGTGGTAAAAATTAAAAAAAAAAGTTTCACACGCGGCGCAGCAAAGTGTCTCACAAAATAAAAAAAAAAAAAAAAAGAAAAACATTATCTTACCTGTTTATGGAGAAGCTCACTTCTTCAGTCCTAAAAGTGTTTGAGGGGAAAAATGTGAATGTACTTGTTAATAAAGAATATTAAATTAGAGTGTTGTTCTGTAGCAGGAGGAGAAAAAATGGTACTTCTGAGACTGTTACAACACACATTGTAGGAAAACTACAGACCAGTCAGATTATCCAAGACTAGTAAAAATTTAAACAAATTTAAGGGAAAAAAGTAAAGCCAACGGTCACTAACAAAGACTATTATAATGCATCTTATTATCCAAATGTACTGCACTCGCTTTTCCCACTTTTTAAGAAACGCACATGAAATAGAGCAGTTGGATAATTCTTGTTGTTCGTACTGTGACTTGTGCTGTGAGCTCGTCGAAAAAAGGCACAACTCGAAAAGATACCGAGCAATACCATACACCAAAATGTCTAATAAAATACATGTATTGTTCACAGAATATTTTTCATAAAAAGTCCTGAACTTATTTTCTGTACCTAGGTAAAGGAATTTCTTCCGGCAATTGCTCATCTTCCACATGACACGAGACAACAGTTGGAAAACTGTCAGGTCTTCGAATGGAGGGCGAGTGTAAAGGGCTCTGATGGATGCCCGAATCAGCTGAGCCACTTCTTCCATAAGATGCTATGCTCTCTTCCACATCAGTGCATTTATCTAACACATTATTTCTCAGAGATATGGAGTCTCTGTCCTCAGAAATACAACTGTCTGCCTCAGAAATCCGCCTACCCACATTTTCATTACCACTGCCAACAGAATCTTGCCTTTGAACAGCCTGCAAAATCTTGGTTGCTAGAGAATTGTTTATTTCTGTAGGATAGTTGCCTTTGGCACTTTGTGAGGACTGAAGTTTTTCTAAACATTGAGCACAACAATGAACGCAATTCTGCTTTGCTTGATTCTTGTCAGAATCGATTTCCAAGCCACAGTAACATTTGAACTTTCTTCCTTTAGGAACAATGCTTCCTTTTTCAGATGCATTCTTGCAACAATAACATTGGAAAGAGCCACAGTGACTATTAGCAAGAGCTATCAAGTTTGAATCTTTCATAAAATGTTTCAACTCCTTGTGCACACCTCCATTTGAGATCTTGTTACATGTGCAAACAGACTGAAGTATTTCAATGCCTGGAAGTTTTTCCACTGAGCTTCCGTCAGTAATTCTTGCATTACAATGCAAACAATGTGTAAGCCCATTAGTACCTTGCAATTGTGAAATCAACTGCTCACGTATTATCTCTCTGTTTTCTTTGCCTGTTAACTTCTCATGTAGCACACACTTTCCTTCGCAGTTCTGTTTACATTGCATACAAGCACTTGGCTCAGTTATTAAAGTTTTCCCAGAGTTTTCAACGTCAGAAAGAGATTTGCTTCCACACTGGGAGCAGACAGTCTGTATACTTTCTTGACCAAAACAAGAGATGTTCTCCTTCACGTCATCCTTGCTTTCATCATCTCTTTTCTGTACATGTTCAAACACCTCAGTACATCTTATGAAATAACTTAGGATATTCAACACTTTTGAAACAATTTTGGAGTCTTTCCCAACAACTACAGTCCTTGTAACTCGAAGAGGAAATCCAACTGCCCCGTACAAGTCTCTGAAGAAGAAAAAAGTTATTAAGAAAAATCAATTGTTTTGAAGAAAATCTATGGAAGGTGTTCATATGTACAAAACAGGAAGGATTTCAAGTTTAAAATTTACAAAACAACCATACTTTGGGATTGTAAACAGGTCAAGAATCATGTGAAGAAACAATTTTCAGATCAGAAAAGTATTTGTCTCCTTTCTTCCCAAAACAGTAATTAACACCTCAGTGTGGGCACAAATTTCAGCAGCGTTTAATTCCCATGTTTGTTTGAATTGACATCTTCCCCCTCTATTTGAAACAACAGATATTCAGTGTACTAAATATCTTACCAACCTTGTTCTCTTAGTCCCTAATGTAAGTTATGGAACCTGGTTTTTTCCACTTGGATTTCTAGTGGAAAAAACTTGGTCCATAACTTACAGTAAAAGGTGTCACTGAATTTCCAACAATTACCAAAAAACAAGGGATAAATGTATTTCTGATAAGGAACCAAGACAATCTCATCCCTGAATCAACTTCAAAAGATTAAAATGAAGAACATGTAATATTATCTTACCCCAGCTGAGCCCAGAGTGGATTGTATGGATGTGACTGAGCAAGCAGATCCAACTATAAATGAACAAAAAATATAAAATCTGCTTTAAATGGGTGCTAAAAATTTCCTTATGGATCCCACAAGATGCATGTGAAGAATATGTTAAGAACAATGATGAGGATCTACACTACAAGAAGAAATTGGGGTTGAAACATCAATGTTTGATAAGACAATTCTCCCACCACCAAGGTAAACATCCCTTGTTCAAACAGTAAATTTCTACTACCAACAGAAGAACATTAAGACTCACAGTTTTGGATGAATGTTTGTCCAGAAATGCTCGGCTTGGGGCTGTTCCAGCTGGCATTACTGTTGACACCCATGCAAGATGATTCTGCAACACAGCTGTCAGAACAGCTGCCATGAAACTAGGAAAGGAAAACACTCAATATCAATAATACATTTATTTGTGTGCCTCTAATTTAGTACCTGAATTAATAAACAATAACTGTAAACAAAACCATTAATAGTTACAGTTACTAAATTGTAGTCTTAAAAAATTAAGGGGTGCCTGGAATAACACCCTAGGTGACTTTCCATAAAACATCATCCTGTCCCTGGCTTTCACAAAGGAGTAGAGGATAATTTGAAGGAAATCTAACAATCTTTCATTTTCCACTTGCATTTTTTTCTTTTTTCTCAAGCAACCCTCCAAATTTACTTTAAGTTATTCTTACAAGTTTGTCCCCCTGCTGTTTCCAACTTTGAGGCAGTCAACCAACTCAACCATGAATTTCTCACACAGCTGCAAGCGATGTGAAGAATGTGTCATTATGTTCAACCATACTGGTTCCTAAAGAAATCAAAACAAACTCTGTCAATAATTTCACAAATTAAAGTTCATATCGCTGACACTTTAGTGAAAAGAGTCACTTCCTGACCTCTGGTTGGATGTTACATCTATATAACAGATGTGACATTCCCTATGAAAAACACTCAAGATTTGGTTACTATTGGTGCTGATAAGTACAATATACATGCTTCTCTCCAGTCACAAACAGCTGCCATCATTATCAATTACATTATTGTTTTGTCTGCATAAATTCAATATAAATGAATAAGCTGCTAAACACAGCAGCCATTTTAGTTGCCAAAATTGCTGAGGCAGTCAACAAGTTGCAAGCAGTTAAGTTTTCATCAGGTAATTTTATTGTGTTCATGATAATTATAAAAAAAATTGGGAAGAAAATCAACACTGTTTCATGCACAGAACTGGCCAAAACATTTTTCCTCCTTTTTGCTGATTCTTTAGGTGAAAAACACATCACGTATTATTGTGCAATATGGTCATCCCATCTACACTGTACTGTACATTTATTAACTACTTCAAAAATGGTTGCTAGATGTTAAATTTTTACAAAAGGTTGAGCTGTGATAAGTTTTACATATTGCACATAGAGTAAAAATATTTCATGTTTGTTACCTTGAGTCTTGGTGTTGCAAGCATATTGTGAATTGTGTCTCGAAATGTGTTCACTGCCTGTTGACAAAACAATTGAATACCTAAGTAATTCACACACACACACAGCTAGTCAATTTGATTTAAATTGATACACAAACAAAATTATGCAAGAGAGAGTTTTAAACCTGATGTTTCAAGTGTTACCCTTTTGCCATCTACTCTGACAAGGGGCTAATGCTTGCAATATCAGCTTTGAAACTCTTTACAGTGGCTAATTTACGTTATCAACTCAGTTGGTGTACTCTCTCACCAACACAGCACTAGTTTCTTTAGAAACTTACCCCCTTTATGCAAGAAAGAACTTAAGGGATGAAACACCAAAAAAGAGAGACACAAAAATAGACAAGCAAAAAAACAAGTTACACACCCCTGTACAACTTGCAGACAACCAGCAATCTACATTAAAAAAAAAAAGGAATTGAACACATTTGTTGTATGTATCCTTACCTCAATGACTTGACTTGTAAATAACCTTGGCTTTCCAAAACAAGCATTCTCAATGGACACTCTAAGTTTCATCACGTGTAATTCAAACAAAGGGAAATGTGCAAAAAATACCCCTTGAAGAGCCCTGTGAAGAAATGAAAAGAAGCCCCCATCAGAACTGTTCCTGCATGTAGTTTGTTAAATGACCTGCAACTATGAAATCTTTCTCTGAGAAATGCAAAATTGGTGCGCACATTTACAATACATGTATATCTGAGCAGAAGTTTACAATTTGTTGTACATTAGTGAGTTAAGAATAGGTAGATAGAACAAATAACATGAATATGAAAGTAATCTTTACAGTAATGCACACTACTTGAGAAGTAGTGAAAATAAGGCCCGAAAAAAATTCAGGCCTGTATGGGATTTGAACCCATGACCTCTGCAATACCAGTGCAGTACTCTACCAACTAAGCTACACTATAACAAGCCAACTAGGAGCTGGTCATTAAGTTGGTTTGTAATAAACGCATGAGGTGATGAATGAATGACTGTGAATACAAGAAAATCATATGTGTAAGCTGCATAAAGTAAGAACTGTACCTGCTTCTATCTTCATTGTCACCAAGAGTAAACAAAATACCAATACCCAGCTTTGGTCTTCTTCCCACAGGTGGAGAAATCTACAAGGAGGCAAGGAAAAATAGCCCTTATCAATAACTTGCTGGCTGTCAGGACCAAATTTATTCAGCTATGAGCAGATCCCTGCTATAAGCTGAGATCCCAAACTTGCAACAAGTAAAATATAACCAATGCATCCTGTGTTGTGATTGGAGGTTTCCATCCATTTTGTTCATTTCTGATGTCAAGATACATGTGTTGTTTTTTTTAAAATTTCTAAGCTGGATCCAGGTGAAATTATTTTTTGGTATGATTTGGTAAGGTCTAGAGAACCCATTAACACCCATATGAGGAAAATTATTCAAATTGATTTGTGAACTCACATCTTCAGATAACTCATCACTCTTCCTTCCAAAACTGTTGTCAATACTGGTGGCATGACTTCGACGAAGACGTCTGTGGTAACTGCCACAAGGTGAGGATGCAGAGGTGAACCATGATGATGTGTTACCTTTAAAGACAAAAAAAGAAACTTAGACAATTGTAAATTTTACATCAAGTATTTGCTTGAAACCCCACTAACAGTGAATGTTGCTATACTGGAAATATTACATGAAGTTAAAATTATCAAAATGCAACAGATATATTGAATAGGCCCAGCATTTGCCAGACAACTGATGAATTTCCAACAGCAAATCTTTGTTACTGTAGCTTAGAAAATACATATGCAGTGTACATGTCTCTCGAAACTGTGGCATTTACAGCATTTTTTCTAATCCCAGTAGTTTCAGGTAAAGCAACAAAACTGTATCTCATTATGAACAAAAACACTTTCTGGTGGCCAGGAAGAGATGATCTTTAGAACCAACATGTACAAGTGATATTCATTGGCTAACTTACTATCAACAGATGCTGTGAATCCACTGTCTTCATCAGCATCAATGACAACTACCGGCGAAGAGCCAGGGACAGCCATTGGTTTGGAGGAATTCCCTAAAAAAATTAAAGAGAAAAGCATCATTTACTGTATATGAGCATGTAAGAGTGAGATACATATTGACTATCAAGTGTGAAATCTCGAGCATCTGAGATGAACGTCAACAGCTGTTACACATTTCCCCTCAACCCTTTTCCACTTTTCCACTACAATATAACTTCCACTGCTTGATTTCACACCAAATTCTCATAACTAAAATTCTAAGAAATGTGTGGCAGACAATACAGAGAAGTAATAAGTGTAAGGAAAATAAATACTCTAAAAATGGTGACATTTTCTCATCCATATGGTTCCCAATAATATTTCACATACACCTTGTAACACTATCAGCATTCACCCTAATCTGGGTCATTCCATGTCCTACATGTAAATGTATTTCTAAGCTTTAAACAATGCATAATTCTGCAGTTTGACATGAAATGATTGAATACTCCAGGACAAGAAAACACTTACCAAGAACAGAATCTTCAAGTTTAGAAAAACTGTTCTGTGATGACAATGACTCACAGTCTGGATCAAGTCTGTTTGAACTGTCTCCTATTCCTGAATCTACATGACTACTGCTGGTGCTGTAATAATCGCTTGAATCACTGAAACAAGGAAAATCAAACAACAAAATGAAACACAGGAAAGAGGCTGGAGCTCAGCATAACTCCCCTTAACCCTTTAAACCCTAAGAGTGACAAGCATCTAATTTCTCCCTACAAGATCACTCCTGAATCACACATTAAGGTCATGAGAATAAAGGAAATGATCACCAGGCAAGGAACTTTTTGATTTGCAAACAAATTCTCCTTGTCAGCATGTTAGGAAATGTATAAAGAACAGTCTGTCATGCTGAAAATATGAGAACTTTGTCCAAACATTACTAACCATAATCAAAGTTGCCAGTAAAACTATTGTTTTAATCTCAATGTTGTACCGCACCTTGAAAACTGGTGTTACTGTAAGTGTACAGTTGTATGTTCACAAAATTTAACCCTTTAACACCCAGAAGAGATTAAAATTTAAGTTCTCTCTAAGATATCCATATATTATCCACCAAACAAGTAATGAGAATAATCAAACTTATTGGGTTAAGTTGCTATCATGATCTAACACCAAATTCTTGTAACAAATTTAACAGAAAATGGATAGCAGCCAGAGAGGAGAATTCACAATCAGATCTTGGGAGTTAAAGGGTTAACACAATTTATATTATTGATGGTAAATCAACTTCAAAGGTCTTTATTTAAGTTGAGAAAGAATAAGAAACAAAAAAGAACAAATAAAAAATAACTTTTTTTGCATTGAAACATTTTTTCATGAAGTAGTCATGAAAGAACTCATGATCAAAGGACAGTTAACACCTACCCACAGCTGGGCAGAACAATTCTTGGTTGGACAGCAAACACATTGGTCAGTAAGAGCTGGTGTGGGGTTCTGAAATAAACAAAACATGCCCATTTCATTTGTAAACTCTACCAGCTTAGACTGTCAGAGCTACTTACCTATCTAAATTACATATTTCCAAAGTTTGCTTTATATCATAACATACTTATGACTTTACAAAGTAATGTTAATATCCTAATTTCTAGTCAGTTAAACCTCATGTGACAAAAACTAAAGCTTGGTATCTTTATAACCTGACCAACGTTAGGTCTTTAGTTTGATTTCAGACTTAAATGAGAAATATTGGTTAACGTGTTAAATGAGGGAGTGTTTCTTGAACATTTCAACAAACTTAAGACAGTAATCTTTGTGCTACATACACTGTATATTTACATCTACATTGCAAATTAAATGATTTAAAAACACAATGATTAACAACTTGTCTGTTTAATATTTTCTATTGTGACCCAAAGAATTAAGGTAACAAACTAAGATAAAACCATTTTACCTGAAACTCATGCTAAACTAAAATACATATTTGAGAGGTTCCTCTATTTTCCTTCACAAGATACACTCATGAAAAAAATTAAAAGAACAACTCCCTTAGGTTAACCTTTGACCTTTAGAATCATACCTTATTTCATGGACTTTGACTGTTTGCCCTTTGTATGTCATTGCCACAGAGCCAAAGATCATCTCCCCCAACATTTTGGAGTCGTGACTTTGTCGTGCATACTGAAATGAAAATGAGTCAAAGTTACAAATATTGTCAGATAATCCTAGAGGGCTTATGCAGTTTCATAACCCATTCACCAGTGTTCTCCTTTTCAAGCTGTAACCCGTTAAATTTATCACCTGAAGTACCTCTGATTACTGCCTCAAATGACTTGGAATTCTTAAAAATTTAACAGGTATAGGTATTGCTCTATCAGATTGAAACTTCTTTAAATTGTCATGCTTATAAGGTAAGGGAGAAAGCTACTTCACATGAACTGATCACAGCACAATACATGCACCAACTAAAGAAATCTTTGGTCCGTCATTATCTTCAATAATCAATACAACAGCAACCAGGGAAACACTGCACTTTGATTGGCTTAAAACCAACTTTTCAATACTTAATGGCTAAAATTTAGATGACTGGACATATGAAAAGGTGCACAGAGGAAGAATCAGACAGAGAGAATTTTTTGAACAGCTTGACCACATGACAGCTCAGATCAATGTCAGTATCTAAGCAATCATGTACCTAAAAACATATGAATAAAATTAAAAAAAAAAAAAATATATATATATATGTTTTGATTCTGGTTTCTAACAATTAGTTGACCCTGAAAAAAGAGGAAAGCTTGAAATCATCAGTTGCATCGGTTAGCTGTAATACACCAATGTTATTCCAAAGCATCGCTCCCCTGACCCAACAACAGTCAGCTGACTAAGGGAGGGGTAAGTCTGCAGTTTCTCAGTCACTGACATTGATACACTAGCTCTATAAAATATTGCTAAAATGAAAATGTATAACAGTGCAGTTCAAATTTTCTTGAATCACACAGCACTTTAGCTAACCTGTAATTTTGACTGAGATCTGCCTCCTTTTTGCTCAAGCCTGGGGCCCCCAGAAAGCTTCTTGTCTGAATCAGAAATTCTGTTCTGCCCCGCATCCTGGTGACATTAAAAAAAATGCACTGAAATATTAAATCACACCATATACTTTGGATTCAAAATTGATTAAGACAATACACAGTTCCCAGCAGGGAAAAAAATAAACTTCTTCAACATCAGTACAACAAGAACCAGTAAAGAGATCAGAAGAAAGAAAAATATCATTAAGGGAATAATGTTTGATTAAGCATCACTTTCTCACAGCTAAATCATTGGAGAGGTGATGACGGCCAGTAAGGAGAATTGATCATGAAATCTAGGGCATCAAAAGGACCAAATAAAGTGTCTAAGCCAAGGGCAAAATAAAATGAACCCATGATAGTTTACCCTTGAACCTTAGGGTCAAGAATCTGATCCCTGAACCTAAGATCAAAAGTCCAGAGCACTAATAATACCCAATCATAGAATCCCACAAGATACTCACTGTCAATTATCGCTGCATCTCTAAAAACCCCTGCAATATTGTTACCACTAAGTTTGCAAGGAAACTCATAAAACCTCAGCAAAGTTATCACCAAAGGAGTGGCATCCATCTATGGCAAGTACAAATGCACTTAACTATTATAAAACAAGTTTAATTATACTTAACAGAATACCTGTTGATTGTTGCTCTTGGGAACTGCTTTGGAGTCAAACAATAAGGTCTTTCCTTTGCGATCACATTCCTTGAACACCAGAATTCTTATCTCATCATGTTCCAGTTGTGGAAAGGGCCTTTAAAGGCATAATTGAATAGGTAAGATATGATTTTCAATCTAGCCAATTATAGCTATAATAATTATCAGGTAACTATTTATCCAGTCATTGAGGTTTTTCTTCAAGGCAAGCCTTGGAACTCTTTCCTCATTTGCCAATCTGGAGCAACTACGTGTGAAGACTAAGAGCAGTCCCTGCTTTTTAGCCAAGTCTGTCATAAGACTAAAAAAATTTCAGCGAAAAAAAGACTGATGCTAATGCCTTGCATGGAAAGGAGTGAGGCAGAGGAAAAGAAGGGTCCTGACACAGACTTTGCCCAGAAGCAGAGGCTGATTGTAATCTACTTCCCAAGTTGACAAATTGTCAAGTAAAATCAAAAAAGTATTATTCATGATTTCCAGGAAAAACACAACTCAAGAGACTTTTGAAGAATAAACTACAATCCAAATTTTGTTTCCTCAGATTTTAAGTCCACCCTGAATGCCATTGCCCAAATGAGAGTAGTGTAAGAAAGATGACTTGTGCTAAATTCAAAATCTTAATTATGCAAAAATATGATTGTTAGGACTCTGGTTTGTGAAAATTGACCCAATTTCCCACAAAACTTCATTCTATATGTCTTAGTCAGCAAATCTGATTGAAAAATAATTCCTACTTCATATAGTTCATAGTAAATGACTACTCTATGCAAGTTTTGAAACACTGCAGGGTACGACTAGTATGTGATACTTATCAATAGAAACAACAACAACAAATGGTTTGACGATGTTGAAAATCAACTAGCAAGACAGACAACGAAACAGAAAATGCTGTGTAATGCTTAGCAGGCAAAAAGCAATTCATATGAAAATAAACGATTACAAGTCGCAAAATTCAAGAGGGAGTTGAACACAAATCATTTTTATGGACACCACCTTTGCATTAAAAAGTCAATCGACCTTTGTCCGATAGCAGTATAATCATGTCCTTAATATAAATGATCGGCTACGGCCAGACAATGCGAAAGTTATGTAAAGAATTCTTGCCATGGTTCATATGACATAAAACTAATTTTTTTTTAAGCTCTAAACATGTGTAATGTTTCCTGCTGCTTTAATGATCACAAGGCTATTTAGACTTGGTATTAAGGTTCAGTTCCTCTTTCAGGAATAGCAAACAAAAAATTATTCGAAAGAAACATTGGCAATTCTACAATCACACGTCTTGAAGTTAGCTCCATACATTTACATTTCTGTAATTGAATTCGATACTCGCAGACGGACCAGGGAGGTAATTGAGAAGAAGATTCACATGATGGCTCATGCAAGGGCGACATATTTTACCAACAATTGCTGCGTAATAATTTACATATGCTGTCGATTTACATTCATAACATACTCTTCCAGAACAGTCTCAAAGGTTCGCGACTAATTTTCCTAGAATACAGGATTTATCTTGCATAACAAAAGAAAGGAAGTTCTACGATATTGCTACATTTACGCGTACTTCAAAACTTTGACAGTAGCAGGGGTCTTTAAACAGTATCCTCTCGTTAACAGGAATTCCAAGAAACATATTTCGCAGGCGACACGATTGTACACTTACAATTGCTACTACTCGCATTCATGTTAATTTTTCGGTCACGAATGCAAGCTATGGTAGGAAATTCTGTTATATTCTGAGCACTAGTGAACTTGTAACCCCGCAAATTTAGCTAGTATTTCACCTGAAGACTGACGAACAGAAATCGACAAAATCGTGTCATATTAGCACGTTATAATTTACCTTCTAGTAGCAAGAATTTCGTCTGGTGTTTCGCTGTGAAATTACAAAACAAAATTAAGCGTCGTTATAACGATCTTCAAACGAGGGAACGAAGTCAATCAGACGAGAAACTTACAGGTCGCCATCATTGTGCTTTTTCCCAGGTTTTCGTGCACCAAAGGAGAATATTTTCGACAACATTGGCGCTGCCTTTAGCTCCTAAAACCATTTCCCTCACAACACGTACACATGCGAGAACAAGCAACGAGAGAGACGTGGGAAGAAGGCGTCGGGGTCACATGACTCTAGAAGACAATCTTTTTTTAGGCACGTGATTGGCAAAGTCTTCGCGGGAAAAAGTTTGTTGTCATTTGATTGGTTGCGAAATCTGATCAAGGAAGCACAAAACCCAGTGACAAGCGCGTGATTCAAGAGGTTTTCACCCAATTGATACCAAACTTGGGCATTTCGCGTTACAATCTATTTCAAAGTTGGACTTGAAAGAAATTTTACGCAACACTATCGATTGTACGCTTTTTATGCTGAGGTGAAATTTACATCTTTCGTAGGCAATGATCACGCACAAATCGCAAATCATGTGGCTTTTTCCCGTCTTTGTCACGATCGTGTCAATGGTTTTGCAACCGCTCTTTTTGGACCTTTCGACTCACGTGCTAAGCTCGAGAAATCGTTACGATTGAACCAAAAGAATTTGAAACCTTTTAAATCGTACGGTGAAATTTTAACGCAGAAAAAAAGAAGAAAACATTGTTTCCATTTCTTACCACGATGCAAAAGAGAAATGATAATAATAATAATTACGTCTCAATCGAAAACTTGCAGAATGACCTCTGGCAATGCGTGACAAGTGATGGAATTCCCTTATTTACAATTAAGGTTTCATAGACAAACCTGCGATTTTTTTTCGATTTGGAAAATCCCATGAGCTTCTGCCCAGCTTTCCTCCGTACTTCACTGCAAACTTGAAGGGTCGTGATAAATAAACAAATCCACGATCAAAAGAAGCCAAAAATATGAGCGTGCTTTATCCTCTGATTTCAACTACTACCACTGTCCTTCAGCTCTGATCCGTTAAATGAACTGTAAACTTCTTCTGTCAGCTGTTTTGTAAATGTATTAAGTCCCGAGACAAAAACATGAGCAAGACTGTCACGTTTCGTAATGTGAGCCTAACACCCCGCCTCCAGTTCCTCCTTCTTTCACCGCTGGCTTTCCTTCCCGTGGTGCATGGTTTCCGGATGGTACGATGAACTCCGTTCACAAGGTTCAAATTAATTTACAGCGCCTCTCTCGAGCTCTTCACTCAAAAGTACAGATGGATAACAATTTAATGAACTTCCAGGGAAACCTGCGGAAAAAAAAAACAACAACAAAGTTTGTTCGACTACTGTTATCATCTCAGACAGGCGAAAAAAAACTGATTTACTCATTAACCACTGAGAATTCTTATTAATAATTGGATTTGTAGCGTTTTTGAAGCGGCGTCCAATTACAAAAAGGTGGAGTTTATTCGAGGGCGGTCCCTGTTTCAAAACTACTTTTTAAATTCACTGACAACTAATATGATAAACATGAGTAAATATAAATGACACAGACACTTGATGAAAGTTCTTACGTCTCACTTTTTGTTATAAAAATTTTCCTTGAATGCAAGGTGCAGATTACCAAGTTGTGCCGAACTCGATATTGTGTTTCCCATCGTTGTAAATAACCACCGCGTTTTCTCCCTGGGTGTGGCGTTTCACGGAGGGTACCGGTGTCCATTATTAACAGTTTGGCTTCCTTATCCAGCGATTATTCGAAAGAGACTCTTAATAATCGAAAAAGAGTGGCACCTATGAGTCCCTGCATACTATGGAAGCTGGTACGAAATCCAACCAAGTTTAGCTACTTAGCTTGTGTGCATGTGCGGATTTAACCTGGATTTTTTTTTCTCGCTGCCCATTTTAATTTGGCCAAAGGTGTTAGGTGTGTGATAACATTTTTGGGCTCTCTAGTGAACAGACACTCGCGTCGATGGTCGCACAAACAGGTCCGGTTAATTTTTGTTAATTAAAAAAAAAATAGATTTATAGATGTCGTATCCTGAACAACACGAAAAGGAAATTGCTAAATAGGTACAGTTACAAAAAATGAAAGATCACAAGAAAGAAAGATATTTAAAACTAACATGGGCCTGGTTTATCAAGATAGAAGAATAAGCTGAAAAAAAAAACCACGTGAAAAGGATACGAAACCACGCATTGATTCATAGCAAGCAACTCTTTTTGGTTGTGAGATCAACGTGAGGCATGCTAAGTAGCATGACCGAGAAGTTTTTCCGAGAATTTGACGAGAAAATCGTGTGACTTCTTGTATTTTTAGAGATTACTGGTCACTCGTGATATTTTAACATTGTTCAAATTGCTTTCACTCACGCGCTTGAAATTCCAAGAAATCACTCAGAGATCAGTTGAGTTCATGAAACAGAAAATATGCCTCGCGTTTATACGATTTCATCTGCAGAATAGTAGAAGAAAAATAAATATATGGGCAAGTTAAGGAGAAAGGTCTAAAATGACTGTTTAACTGACCAGCTGTTAACTTCGAATTCATATATAAGATGTGGGGGTCACTTCCTGATATAACCAATCACGTAACGGTATTCAGGTAACGTGACAGTCAAAGTTTCATGACGCAAATTTTTTGGCTGTCACACTATTTAATGGAGCGACTAAAGACCGTGGAATCTAAAAAATGATAATGTTCTACTTCCTTCCCACAGATGATCGGTCACCTAACCATCCATTTCCGTTCAAGGACAGTAAATTAACAAAGACAGCCATTTTTGTAGGTCGTGGTAGCCGATTGTCCGAGTTCTAATATTAGCCATATTAGATAATAAGTCTGCGAAACCGATATAAGAAATATATATATTTTTTAAGAAACCGTTGGTTTCATTGTGCTTGATTTGTGCTCTAAACCTAAAAGGTGCTCAAAAATTGTTCAGAATCGCAAAAAAGTTTCTCTAAACTCAAAACGTTGCTCAAAAGTTGCCAGGCGCAATCAGGCCAAGCCGTAAAAGTTCTAGGTAAGAGAACAGGGAAATAATTTTCGAGTTCTTTTTAATTTTAACACAAACGGGATTAGCCCGGAAGTTGGAGATTCTTCAGATTTCCGTATCTTCTCAAACCTAAAGTAGGAAATTTGTTTTTATTGCCTCAAAGAAAAATGGTATCTAATGAGAAGCCCAGAGCCCCCCCCCTTCCCCCCTCCCCTCCCCCTTCCCCCACCCCACCAGGGGTTCTGCCCCTGATAGACCAAAGGTATTTTCAGATATTTTTAAAGAGACCCCTTGGCGAGGCTTGGGGATGATTTCAACATCATATCTGGTTGTTTTCACTGTCGTGTCACGCAATCGAATTCTAAAATCAAAACGATCAAATGGCCAACGCCAAGAAAGTGAGATATTGTAGAGTATTAACAAATAATCAATTTTTCTAAGTTTCCGGTCTGTTGGATTTTCCGCTGATGAGTTATTCATCAAATTGTCTCAGATAAGTTCGTTGAGCTCAGCGTGAGGACGCCATGTTGGGTGGAACGTGGTGAACATGACTAGCATGACAGCCATGAGGTAACGCAAATATCTGTTGTCTCGTTTCGTCACTAAAATAATTAGTTATCCATTGTAAACTTGACTAAAACTCATCCAAATACATTTTCTAGTGTTTCTAATGCTCAGGGACCAAAATTTCATATCATCAAATTATATTTTATTAAGTATCAGCTTCCCGGGCCGCTATTTACTTGTAGAGAAAAATTACGAAACTAGACATGGCTCAGTCAAATTGGAGATCTCCACGACGATGAAACCTTTCCAATAGGTTAGTATTTAGGAGGTTTTTCGTCTTTCGGAGGAAAAGCTGTAATAGCTCTTGTCATTTTAGATTTTGGTTTTTTTCAACGTCACGTGAAAACCAAGGTGGTGTTATGGGTTTTGATCAGCAAGAATGATCTTCATTTCCGAAATACATCGAGATTTTTGTCGATGCAATTCTTGAAAATATAAATTTTCAAATATTATATTTTCCACCTTTCTTGGCGAAGAAGATCGTTCAATCAAGTTGTCAACCGTCATTGTGCGGTAACGACATCCTAGCAATAAAATCACAAAACAAAAGAACTGCATGGTGCTCGAGGGACACTTTTAAATATTGTTCACTTACACTTGGAGCGAGTACTCTGGGAACGAAAATCTCGTCCAAACTATCGTCGGGTTTCTCGAAAACTTCATACTGGACCTAGGACCTATATGACCGTATATAAACCTCGAAAACTAAGATCTTAAAACTGGGTGCATTGATGAACTGGAAGGTGCCAGTATTGAGGTCAGGACTACTTTACTTAATGGGACAAGTTTACCAGGCACACCTCAAACAGTTCCCAGGCCTTCACAGCTTTCAAGATGGCGGTCGCATTGTGACGCGTCGATACTTTGATCATCCTTTTATTATAGAGGTTAGTATGCAATTTTTTTTCTACAAGAAATGATAAATGATATAACTGTAAAAGATGGGAAACAGTCCTTTGAGATATAAAGGTCGCTGGGAGTGCCAACAAGGATAGTTTGGAGAAAGTCGAGAAATTCGAAAAAGAATTCGAAAGTCGAAATTTGTGCTAATCATAAGTAATCGTTGGTATGTTTATAATGACTTGTTTAATGAATTGTTTAATTTATTTATTTGCGATATTAAGCCCGGCTGACCCAGTTCAGCCTAAGGTCGAGGCCAGACCACAACATCGTATTAGGAGCTACGTTCACAACTCTTTCCGCGAAGTGCGTAGGTCGTTATTAACGTCCTCTGCTAACCAGTACAGAGAAGACGCAGGAGACGGGGTCCGAGAGGACTAGATTTTCTTACCTTGTATGGATATTTTAGCAAAGGCAACTCATTGTTCTCAGTTATTCTAAAAGTCTAAGTGTTGATCCGGTCTGGGGCGAACCGTTGACCTCCTGCACGGCGGGGCATTCCGGCGATTTACAACGTAAGCTAACCAAGCGCGGTTTTCATTCATTCACACATTATATTTATCTTTTCCTTTTTTTACCCTTTTTTTTATAGAAACTACGGACTCCAGAGCACACATCGTAAGATTGGCAAAGCTCGTCGCTGCATAATCTTAAATGGCGCCCTTCTTGCTCGATAAGCTAGCAACACTTTTGATGACTGCTTCCATAGCACTGCTTCTTGTACTTCTTTTACTGGTGCTTATTGTGTGGAAAGAGCACAGGAAATATGACCATATTCCTGGACCTAAACGGAGGAGTTTCTTACGTGGAAACTTCTCAGAAGTTGAAGAAAAAGGAAAGCTTCTTTCTGAACTGTTTCTAGATCATGCTCTTGTGTATGGGCCTATATTTGTCTGGTGGTATTTTTTCTGGCCAATTGTGGTAATATCAGGCCCAGAATTAATAAAACATGGTTTAGTAACTTTAAACCTTCCAAAGGCACCATCATCGTACGACAGTTTAGCATATATATTTGGACGACACAGATTTCTTGGCTCTGGGCTGGTTACTCAGTTGAATCATCAAAAATGGAAGTCAAAGAGAAACCAATTAAATCCAGCCTTTCATCGCAGTTACTTGAAGGATCTGGTCCCACAGTTCAATTCTATCGCAGATGCTCTTATTTCAAAGCTGTCAAAAGTTGCTGATGGGAAAACTGTCATTAATATGGTGGATGAATTCCAAAAAGTGACTTTGGATGTCATTGCAAAGGTATGGTAGTGGAATCATTTTGTAAAGCAGTTGTTTGGTATTATGGCCAAGTAAGAAAGTGGGGGCTTATTCAGGGGAGGGTGCATATTAGAGCACGGGGGATCATTCAGGGAAATATGGTAGCTCTGTTAAATTTAGATCACTGTAAAATTCTGAAAATAAGCCCCAGGGCCTATATTTTTCAAAGGACCTTTTTGAGGGGTGTATTTTTGGAAGGGGCTTATATTCGGAGGGGCTTATTATAGGAGGGAAATCTGCATTTCAAAATTGGCTGGGCTTATAATTGGAGGGAATTTGTGTCAAAATTTTTGAATGTGCAACTGGTAATATTAAGGTTTTGGTTAGAAATTCGTAATAATTTAATCACACTGAAAATGCCAAGTTCAAACACAATAGCAATAAACTTTATTAGAACAGAAATACAGTAATAACGGTAATGTAGTTCAGGCTCAAAGTTCATGATAACTATGAAAGCTCTTATTGCTCCAGGAGTACTAGAGGGAGTTTTGGTTCAGGGTGGCAAGATTGAACTTCCTTGCAAATACTTTGTTCTACAGACCGAAGGAATTCAAAGCACAAGTGAAGAGCAAACTGGGTAAAAGACAATAAACTTCAACACCTGTTGACCACATTGCTTTAGTGCACGGAATCATTCTTTTATGACTAAAAAAGGCTTCCTGATAATGGGGATTATGTGTAGTTTGCTTTGTATAATTAAGGATAATTTCCAAATACAAGCTCCCAGGGGCTTATATTCAGAGGGACTTGTTATAGATATTTTTGCCTTTCAGATTAGGAGGGCTTCTATTCAGAGAGGCTTATACATGGAGGGGCTTATTTTTGGAATTTTATGGTATGTTATATTTATTAAATCATTCTTATTTTGCTCCTTAAGGTTGCATTTAGCCTGGATTTGCATTGCTTGGATGATCACAACTGCAAAGTCCATAGAAATCTTAGTAAGTGTCTGGAAGGTTATTCAGAGAGCTATTACCAGCCTCTACTGTCCTTGTCACTTTACAAACAATCGTACCAGAAGACCATTTCCACATCAATATCTGTTTTGCGTCAATGCGCAAAGGAATGTATAGAACAGCGACTGCTAGCCATGGAAGACTCTAAGAAAAGGCCTAACGATATACTCCAGATGATCCTGGAGGCTTTTGATGTGAATTCAAAGAATAGTCATGCTATCATGGAAGAACTTGTGGATGAGTTCCTCACATTTTTCTTAGCAGGTAATGTTTTTGTGTTAAAATTTGTTAGCTTGTGTAGTAACTGTGCCAGATTGTCATGCAAGGAAGAAGAGGTTTCAAACTCCAGACCAAGCCAACTCTCAGTGTCCTAAAATAACAGAGGAGAGTGTATTGCCTTTGCTGTGACATCTGAAAATGGTTAGAAATAAAAGTAGTCTTCTCTCAGGAAAGGATGACAAACCATAAGCCCTGTCTCCTGTATCTCTATTATGCTGGTTAGCAGGGGCCGTGAAAAAACCAACACACTTCTCCCAACAAGTAGGGAACATAGCTGCAGGTGCCATGGTCTGGCCTTGTTACTTTTTATAAAGTTTCTCATCTAGCTCAACTTTAAAGGTAAACTGGGCCAGCCTGTCTAAATGTGGCAAATGAGTGAATGATTCATTTTCTCTAGCTGTACATTCTTGAGTCTTCTCAATTTAGGAGGTGTATAGCCTTGTTTTTGTGTGTCGTGAGAAAAATTTCAGAGGGTTCTTGATCCAGTAAAGGAATTGGATCACAGTTGAATGAGCCCATGCTGAAACTGACAAAAAGTCAGTCACCGAAAACACTTGTTTTCAGAACCACTCCCACTAAAATGATCACTGACTACGCAATAATTCTCCTAGATTCAAACACTTGACTAAATGTATTATTTGTAACTGTGACTGTTGCTTTGACAACCCCTAAGGAAGTTATGACATGTCAATGTATCAAAAAGTTTCTGTTACGATATCACTACAACTGCCCCCATTATTTTCCCATCGGAGTTCACCCTGTGACAGATGATACAGCCCCCCCCCCCCCCCCCCCCCCCACTCTCCTATAAGAGAAAATTCCACTGAGCATATATTGGATCTGTTAACTCATTAATTGTTTCAGATTTTAAAATTTGTATTCTTTTTCTATGACTTTCTACAGGGCCATAAGTTTATTAGCCCGTCACTTTTACTTGCTACCCTGTCTTAATAAAGCATTTATTGTTATTATTATTATTATTATTATTATTATTATTATTTTTATAGATTTAATTTTGTTTTTAGGTCAAGACACAACAGCAAACCAACTTAGCTTTACCTTGTTAGAAACTCTGTTGAATGAAGACATTGAAAACAGGTTTGTGATGCAGCTACTGAATAGATACTTGAGTAATTAGTAGGGTTCTTTCAATTTGACATTCCTTTTGCTGAAAAGGGTGTGAAAATTTTTGTATTGAATAGTGCAGTATTACATTGAAATTTTAGGGAGAAGTTGGTCGCCTGACATGACCCAGGGTCTTAATTTTCACTTGAGGCAAATCATGATATATACAGCACTATGATGATGATGTCCATTTAACAATTAGATTCCTTTCTGCTGTGCATCTGGTACTTCTGTTCAGTAATAGATCACAGATGAGATCATAATAAGATTAGAACATTAAAGTAGCACATGAGGAGCAGCCAAGTGTGTCACTGATATAGCATTTTTTGAAGTCCTATGTGATATATCACTGAACAGACACAGAGTGATATGGAATCTATTTGTTTTATACAGTGCATGATAAAAAATTAACATTTTCTTATAGTTTTCTACAGCTTGTAGTCTGTCCTCCAATAAGGAGGGAGCAGTCAAAATGCATTTATACATCAATCAGTTTATCATATAAATAGAAATGCTTAATCTTCTCACATTTTTTTCAGGATATTTCAGGAGGTGGACGATGTCATAGGAGGAAAAGAGAGTGTTGAATTTTTGGACATTGCAAAGATGCAGTATCTTGGGCAGACACTTAAAGAAAGTCTACGAAAACATCCAGTTGTGGGGGGTATTGCCCGTGTCACTACAAAAGCTGAGAAATTTGGACAATATTTAATACCTAAAGGAGCAAAGTTACACTTTTCAATTTTTGTCTCTCATCACCTTCCTGAATTCTGGGACAATCCAGAAAGCTTTCTTCCAGAGAGATTTGCAGACAATGTTAAGCCTTCAAACTTTGTTTACCTTCCATTTTCTTGTGGTCCAAGAATTTGCATTGGAAAGGTTTTCTCAGCTATCAATGCTACCATTATCATGGCACGCATTTTTCAAAAATTTAAATTTCAGTTGGTGCCTGGGCAGACTGTGCAGCGGGATGACAATCTCACAATTTTCCCTAAGGATGGAGTCCTGTGCACTGTCAAGGAAAGGATATCAGCAATTTGAATTCTTAAGTAATGACGAATGGCCTTACTGAGATTCTTCACTGAAATATTTAAAATGGACTCCAAGGTTTTTGATGCGAAATACTTTTAGTTTAAATAGCCTCACTGAATATTGTGAACAAAATTTTGTTGCAAAGTTGAATGTATTTAAGTACTTTCCCCACAAAGGAAAGACAATTACTTTTGAGATAATGCAAGTGAAAGGGTTTATCCTTTAACTCCCAGAAGTGATTAACATAAAACTTCTCCCCACAATATCCATACATTATTCAGCAAATACGTAATGAGAATATTCAACCTTATCAGTAGAAGCTGCCATCTTGATCTAGCACTAAGTCCTCACATCTAATTTACAATGAAATGTGTAGCAGCTACAGGGGAAAATTAACAATCAGATCTTGGAAGTTAAAGGGTTCATGGCTGCAGTTGAGCACAACAAGAGATACACTAAGGTAGAACAGAAAAAAATTTTTGCGAGCTTTTGATCATCAAGATCTCTAGCCACTTTTTTGTAAAATTTCAGCCTTAACCCTTGAACTCCCAGCAGTGATTAGCTTGTAACTTCTCCCTAGTGTGTCCATACATTATTTAGCAATTAGGTAATGAGAATACTCAAACTTATCAGGTAGAAGTTCTTATCTTGGTCGAACACCAAATTCTCGTAACCAATTTAAAAGGAAATGTGTAGCAGCAAGAGAGGAGAATTAACAATCAGATCTTGAGGGTTAAAGAAGTGAATCAAACCAATTTTAGGTAATCTTTTGTGGTAATTGAAGGATGCTCAAAAATGATGGTAATTGAACTTAGTGGAGTGCAATTTGTTCAAAAATCATATGTGTGACTTCGAAATCAATTTAGCACAACATGGGTTTGATTTGAAATCACAATACATGGTATTATTTCAGACTAAAATTGCACAACTAAAACTTCAATTACCACCTGATAAATATCTATTCTGAAATTGCAAAATTCAGTCACTTAAATAGTGGTTTTTTCAATCTGTACATAAGTAATTTATTGATCCAGTTTTGAGCTGATTTGTAAAAAGTTACAAAACTTGTCTTTCGTTTTCCTGCAATTTGATCAGTTTCTTTAAATAAGCCTCGAAATGTGATTGGTGGTTGTTTTTCAGTAAAGCTGTCTCATTGGTTGGGAAGGAGATGCATTTAGAGCACGAAATGGTGTGATTCATGAATAAATCACATAAATGATATCCAATCAGATTACAAGGATCACTTGCGATTTCATAGTGGATGTAATAAAAACTGTAATCATGCTGAAAGTATACATAGATGGACTTTGGCATGACAACTTTTTCAAAAGAATTAATATATATATATATATTTAATCACTTATTTGTTCTGTTTACTAATTGTGTTCTTATTTTATCTTCAGTTGGTAGGCCATTTAAAGTATTGATGGCTACTAAGAACATATTTAAGGGTTGCGGCATAATGAAAATACTCTTAACCCTTCAACTCCTGTGAGTGACCAAGACAGAATTTCTCTATACAATATTAATACAATACCAACTAGATAAGTGATGTGAATAAAGAAAAATATCAATTTGGGGACAATAAGTTGATCCAATGTTAAATTCTCTAAACCAATATTATAAGAGTTGTATGGTTAACAGTAAGGAGGATGATAAATTTGATCTGGGAGTTACAGGGTTAATTCCAAAATGTTGACCCTTTAAAAAGCATGATTAATGGAGGAAAGACCAAAAAGCCTATGAATCATTGATTCCCTTTGCTCACTATTCATAAGAAATCTTTGTGGGAATCGTTTTTTCAAGGAAAAAGTGGATAGCTTTCATCACCAGCATGTGCTAATTATGGCTATTGTGTATATATTGTACCCAGAGAGTGGAGGGCTCTCATCCCTCATTGCAAACACCTCTTCAATTGTCAACATTTTTGTAACTTAGTATTATCAACTGAGTTGATAGCTGAAATCAGTCACCTTTGAGTTACAAAGCTGACATGTTAGCCCTTTGTCAGAGCGCAGGGCTAATGAAGGGTTAATGCTTGAAACATTTCTTTAATGATGGTCAGTTTTAAGTCGTCAACTCAGTTGATAATACTAAATTACCCTGTTACACTCTCCCACCGATGCAACACCACAGTTTCTATAGAAACTTACCCCCTTTAATCAGCATTCTTGTGACTGAGTGTATCTCGGGGTTTTGTTTTGTATGTATTACGACAAATTTTAAATGTGATTGTTTGTAAAAAGAAATACCTGAATTAAATGAAAACAGCTTAACCCCCTAACCCCTTAGAGTGCCAAGCATCTAATTTTTCCTTACAATATCACCCTCAAATCAAACACTAAGGTCATGAGAATAAAGGAAATGATCACAAACTAAAGCAGCTCTTGATTATAAGATAAATTCTCTTTGTGAGCACCTTGGGAAATGTACAGTGATTGGTATGGAGAATATGGATACTGATGTTAAGGGGTTAAGTGTTAAGTCAGCCCAAACTTGGGGCAGAAGCAACTGAGAGAGAATCCCTGGTTCTTGTTCAGCCCTCTTTCACTTGTGTATTTTTTCAATGCCTATACAATGAACTTCTATGCAAGAGTCTTGCAAGCAGCAGACATGTTGAAATTTTAAGAAACAAGACAACATTTTTTTAGGTATAAATAAAGAATTTTGTTTCTTTAGTTTCAAGTAGAAAGAAGGCCTCCTTTTTAAATTCATTGAATTTTATGATTTTAAAATAATATGTGTTGTACAATCCTTTCATTTTTCAATTTGTATGGCATCTGTCCCCACAGATTTCGTGTCTTTAATCTACTAAATTTATCTCTGATGCTCTACTTTAATACATAAACTTCCTCTCACGTAATCTTCCTTTATTAATGAATGCATTTCAAGGTTCAGTATTACTTGCTAGAGGTAATGTCTTAATTTGTAATCCCAATTTTTTTCTCTTTTTGTGGCTATTAAGTTAATTAAACTGAACTCAATATTGTGAAATGTTTTCATGGTAAAAGCACGGCATAGCATTTGTTAGTCAATAATTGAGCAAGACAAGCTTGGGTGTTAATTTAAAAGCCCAACATGATTACGATAATAGCCTACGTGAGTGAAGAAGTGTTTTGTTTTCAGTGGAATGAACTAGACTTCCCTTAATCTTGTAGACTGAAGCAGAAGTTGAAGCTAATCTTGACTGCACATTGTTCAAAACAAAGTGATCAGCTTTCATTCATCAATCATAAAAAACATCATTTTACAGAGGAAGTGAGTTTCATCTTATCGCATTAATATAGAACAATCTGATATTTAACATTTAATTAATATCAGGAACAATGCATGGGCTTTTCATTCATACTGTGTGGTTTGTTCTGGGCAATAAATGATAAGAGAGGAGTTTGAAATTTCAGCCATTTATAGTTAAGCACTTCATCATAAAGCTTGTTACCTAGAAATTGTACCTCTGCCAAATTTCACCCTGTGAGTTAGGGTTCCCAGTTGTGGGGGGCATTATCCACCTCGTGGTTTTCTTTTTTTTTTTTTTAAATAGTCTCGATTGATCTGCTCATCACTCCAAAAATAATTCCATATTTACTAAACAAAGGCATAAAAATATCAGATATAACAAAATGACATCTCCCTGGCACATTTGACATCGAAGGTAAGGCTGCCACAAAATCAAAACTGATGGAAGTTTCTAGTTTAAATATCACAGGTGTGTATGTTCGTGGAAGTATGATAATTTGGGAAAATATTGATTTAGTGGTCAAACCTCCCTGTGGGACGGAAAAAACTAACTCACTGTTGTGCATGAAAATGATCTTCAGCACTCTATGGCGTGATTCTGAAAGGGGAATCTTGGCGTCTGTTTTCGATTTCGTTTGCTAGAGTGCATAAAATTAACATATTGTACGAAGAAAAAAACCAATAAACCAAGTGCTTTATTTTAGTAATGCGCGAGAGGCTACTTCTCTCCACCAATTGTATTAGGCTGAATGTTTTCCACTCTGTTGCAAATAAACCAAGCAATTCAACGGCTATTAAGTTTCAAGGTTGAAATATTTCCGCCTAGAGTTGTCTTCCCCTGTGCTGGCAACTTTTTGATTGCCTAGGGTTCGGGTAACATGTCGCTTGCGAGATACATAGCTTTATCTGACGAGATATAAACTTGTTTGGAGAAACTTTGCACTGCATCCTGTCCTTTTTCAATAATATTACCTCCAGCGAGGGAGATTACGCAAAGCAGAATAAAGCTCCAATTTTAAGACCTACAGGAAATTTTCTTTTATACGGCCGCTTGAAAATAGGGTCAGAGTTGTTGAACAAAAGCGTGTGATGTTGTTTTCTTTCACAAATGGGAGACACTGTTGGCTGAAAACCAAACATACATCATAATTTCGACCGACAGAGGTTGCAAATATTTGGAGGCAGTCCTTTATCAGCATGGTGGTTAATTTATCCTGTGACTGTCGGCACAACACAATGTTTCAAAGGATTTCTCACTGCGCAGTACTAATGTGTACCTAGCGAAAACATTTCGCTCGATGGACTCAAAAACAATTTACCGCTCTCAAGAGAAGAGAGCGTTCTCTGCCTTTGAGGCAAGATAGCAGACGTCGACAATTTGGGAGAGATCTTTGCATTTTTTGACTATTTAGCGAGTATTTGATGTCAAGTTCAATTTAAATAACTTGTCCGCGACCACAGGCCAACATCTGTACTTCACAAATCAAATTCCGTTCAATTTTGACGATTTCTCCGTTCTTTGCTGTTAAAACGTTACATGTAAATGTATCAGCGCCTTCTGCGCCAATTTTTTTCAAACATCACAAGGCACTTCGTCCTCAAAACCCCAAAATATTCGGACGAGGCCATGCCGCCCGTTCGCACATTAGATTCATTCCTTTGACAATACAGATAAACAGCTTTGTGCACACCAACAGTGGAAAAGTTTTTCTTAAGGATTATTTATTACAAAAAACGAACCGAATTTCACAGCTTTTTTCACATGCTTGTGCAGTTTCAAAAACGAGGTTTACATGTGAATCATTCAATCGCCAAAAGGCGCAACTGCTGTCTTTCAAACTTAGTAAAAAATCCGCTACATTTCCGCGATAAATACTTCCCAATGAATGCTTCTCTCTCCCATACACCACATTCAACCTTAGAACGGAGATTTCTGAGTCAACTTCCGTCGATTAATTTTAGAAAATTACCTTAGACAGTGATCTAAACCATACTACTCTTGAAAAAGGCAACATTCAACCTCTCTGCAATGAAATTGCAACTTGTCTAGTGTTATAAAATTCATACAGTTTATCATGAGTATACCGGTATCATACAGACGTTTCATAAATGTTGTATCGTGCCCCAAAGAACAACACAGTTTTAAAAAATCGTAAATATTTCAACATATAGTATCATATACAAAAAAACCTTCAGAAAAATGTTTATGAACGAAAGCTACAATACGGTCAGAAAAAGCTACCTGTCATAACCTCAAATTTTATAAAAATAAATCTGTGTTACCTCATTTCGCTTTCAAATAAAACCACAAAAACAAACCTAGTTACGAAAAAGGGTATCATTTTAACCTTTTTCTGCGAGTTAACATAATTCTGAAACGCGAATTAACAGCAGTAATGCGTTGTGACATGAAGTCGTTCCGAGGTTGTGCTCTTCGAGGTTATGCTCTTCGAGGTTGTGCTCCTCGCAATCGAATAGTCTATATTTTATGTGTATTACGTACACTACTAGTTACCTCGTCTAGAAAAACTCACTTGTGTCCGTAAAAAAGTTCAGCTTATAAAATCTATTGTCTCCTGTCCGTTCAAACGAAGGCTTCTTTCCCTGTGTCGCCTTGAAGTTTGTATGTGTCTTTGTAGCAGGCATCACTCAGAGCATAGCTACCTTCGTCTCGCTTCCGGAGGCGATAAACCAAAAATGCGATCAGAATAACAGCACATACAGCTCCCACGACGACTGCGGCAATAACTTCAGTCGTTAGAACCCTAAGAACGCTTCCCTCTTTCTTTTTGGTTCGTGCTTCAGCGTTAGGAGTATCTTGCTCGTCCTCGTCGGTATCCTCTTCACTTGGTTCGTCGTCATCCGTATCTGAGACACCGCCATGAACCACGCTTTCACCATTATCGCTAGGCCCATCGGGACGTTCGTCCACAAGTGGGTCCTCCGATGGGTTTTGAGTGCTATCTGCTATCACATTAGGGTTTTCTGTGGTCTGTTCGGTTGTGGTGTCTGGTTGTTTGGTGGACGGTGAAACAACAGTAACATCCACTATAGCATCTATAGGATCACCGCTGCCACTGGCACTTTCATCTGATACAGTGGTAGACCCATCATCGTCCTCGTCGTCGTCCCCTTCGCCGTCAAAGATTTTGACAGTTTTAGTGCTTTCCGATTCCTTCTTCTCCGAGGAATCTGTGTCGCCATCGATGTCAATCGAATCATCGAACTCCGCCATTGTGCGATCGATTGCGAAGGCCACACAAACAACAAAAACACCCAAAAGAAGCAATTTAGGTCTCATGTTCGTCCAAAATATCCTTCACCCTTTTCAATTGCGATTTTCCACGTTGCTCGAGAATTCCTGAGTTTCAAAATTCCGTCAAAACTATAGAAAACAGGCGTAAAATCCACAGAGCTTAAATTCCCAGTCGAAATGCTCACTCAAGCTTTCGCACCCGTAATTCTTTAGGGAATAACCGTCAATCAAATGACGTCATGTCCGGCAAATGCTATTTGTGGGTAGGCCAATCATTGGAATCAAAGGAGCTTCCCGACCACTAGCCGCATAATATATGCACGCCTGTTAAGGACAATTGCTTCAAATACCCAATATACGGGAAAAAAATTCGCATTAGGAAATAAACAGACTTTTACCACCTAATCATGGTTTGATATAATATTGAATCGTTGTTGCGTCACGTCACGCCGGGACGCCCCCGATTTCGACACGCTGTCGACTTTGTAATTCGTGTCGGTAAATTCCGGAACAAATCGGAAAATCGAAACGAGATAGGAAGAAGAAATACCTTATTACGTATATTCTGTAAATAACTTTAACAAAACTGAAAATTATATCGTTCTACCCAAATCCATCACACGATATACATCAGTAAGCATTTATTTTAAATTCTTTTTGTTTTTTTTTTTGTTCGGAATTCCTGTAGATCGTGGGCATATTTTTTCCGTTGAGTCGATCTTCCTTTCATTCAATTGAAAGTTTCCTCTCCTTGATATTTTTATTGCTGATTCAACATTTGAAGATTTGCTTGCAGGCGAAATTTAGATCGGTTTCTATTTAAGTCGCGTTCCATCATCAAACTTGTTGACTCCAAAGGGAAACTCGCATACATGTCAATTACACAGGAAGTACATTGATAAATCTTGTTTTCTTTTCAGTCATCACGCTCTTTCTAAATGTCAACCTTTGAGTTCGGATCATGACTTCTGAAAAAAGAAAGAAAGGCCCGCTCAGGGAGGGACCTAGTTTTTCCGCAACTCTCCTCCCCCTTCTTGACAAAAGCTTATGTTCCAAAAATCTTTTTTTGTTCTCATGTTTATCACAATGTCATCCTTTTTATATTAATACGATTACACTATTTTCTAAGCCCGCTTCCACCCCTACTTAAGCGCATGATCCTCATTTGTGGTTCAAAGTTCTTTCGTCAGTGGAACTAGATACCACAATTATCGATCTCCCACGGGGTTTAACATAATGGGCTCTTCCTATCACGCGACCAATGCGTTATTGTTCCTTACGGCTCAGGCCTGCGTGGGTAACGCGCGTGGGCCTCTCTTTTCTGGTAAGAGGCCTGTGACATGTGTTGAAATGCTATAACGGATGTATGAGAAGTAACCTATCGCGTCAAGAGAGAAATTATTGTTATCTGAGGGTGTTTTTGTTTTGCAGTTTTATTTTTCAGTTTTTCTTCTAAAGGAAAATATGATTCACGCGATATTTCCGACATCCAAAGGATGTTCGTGTTACACGTTCCATTCCAGTAGTTTTTTCTTAGCTCATTTCAAAACTTCCAAACATGATTAAAATTACGTAACTTTTCTAAATTTTCTTGCATGACGACTTTACGCAACGGCGAAAACAAGGTGCTAGGGAATCTTGGACAATTAGAAACGAAATTTCAGTAATCAAATTAAAATTCATACTTAATTTTTAATCCGATTCTCCACTCGTTAAGCACACTAGCAGTGCGCGCCCGGACGCGTGGTTAAATTTTCGTGAAAGGACAGAGGAAGCTGCTGTGGGGTTGAAAGCGTGGAAATAAATTATTTTCTGGTTAAATAAAGCTGCCAATGCAATAACGCGTGGTTTTATTCGAGATTTGTGGTGCGCAAATTGTGGAGAGCCACATCGTGTATTTAGTTCAGATCTGAGAGAAAATGCTCTCAGTAAAACTACTCAGGTTATCTAAAAATATCATAATGAAATGCCCGGTGGGAACTACATGTATTAAGCCTTCCGTTTACGAAAATTACACAGCTGGACCTCAAAACGTTACAAGTTTCATCATGAACGACATTCGCCCACAACTCGTCTACAGTGGCTCGCGATTAGTGAAATTACTAAATTTTAAAAATACGTTCTCAAAATTTAGTTGTTGAAAATAGATACGCAAGGGCAAATAACCATGATATGACCGTATTTCATTATCATTATCAACATTAATACAAGTACAAGTGAAGAAATGCCACCACAAAATAAAGAGAATTCTACAAAACATCCGGAGAAACCGGAATTATTGTAAGCAAATAACAGCAGGTAAAGTATTCTGATGTCAGGACAACAGTTGGCTTCTTCCCGTTAAGATCATTGTGTTTTTACATAATGACAGTGTTTGCAAATAAAAATTTTAGAAAAAAAACCCCACGCACGAAAACAGCCGAAAAAATCACAATACATCGCCATACGGCGTCGAACTTAAAAACATGTCAAAGGAAAGAACGTTCTCTCGCTCACCTCATAAAATTTTCGTGAGGTTTTCAGATGCGTTATTACGAAACTATATTAGGAACTCGAAATAAATAAACTATGAAAAGTGGTTCGTGTCAAGCATCATGCATGCTAACTTAAAATTGTTTTGTCAGTAAAAAATGCCAACGAAGTACTTCAGATTTTGAGGCGAGGAAAAAAAACGTTTCTTATCCCAAACATTTACGTTGGCACAAAAGTCACGCTTTTTTGTAAAATTTAGCTTAGAATGCTTCAGTTTTTGCGTCTCAGTCCTCACGTGTCGGTCCGAATTTCGTAACCATCAGCATCACAGTTCCTCTCAGACTTATTCTTATATCCGGTTAGTGTTTACAGATCTCAACGATCAACATCTTGCAATTTCCCTTACGCTGAAGGTGACTAATTGTTATTTATGGAGATATGGAGTCACTTGTATGTTCAGATATTTTAATTTGTAGTCTTTGCGACACAGCTGACCACGCATGTTAAAAGTAGCAACTTGTACGGTCGTACGGTCGTACATCCAAATTTTTTCGGCTTGATGGGTCGCTACTATTTTGTATAATTATGGGGCTACGCTCTGCGAGCTCCGCTATTATATTAATGCCAGACCCCAGCCAACCTCTCCCCGACCCGTCTCAAATATTACCGCGTGCAGAGAGAGGGAACAGAGAGATGCACGTTCTGCAGAACGGTATTTTGACCGCTACACTACTCTTGGTCTTCTTCAGCCGAACGGAAAACTATTGATGATGCATTTTTGACGCCGTTTGTTGGTTTACCTATGTACTATCAGGAGCCCATGAGCTCCGGGTTCTATTAATTAGTCATGTATTCCACCAAGACTATTTTCAGACTCTAACGCGTCTTACAGAGAAAACAAACAACAGTTCACGATGCACAGGACAACCAACCCAAACGATCAAGAGTGAGTTAAAAATATTGTCATCCACTCTTCAATTTGCCTTTTCGGTTATTTTTTCCTTTTAAAACGACGGACATCAGTTTCTTTTCCGGCTTTTTCGTAATGTTTTCATTTTTTCTTGGGTTTGACACCTCACCAGGTCGCAAGTATAAATGGCTTTCGATACGGTATAGAAACATCCCATCCAAGGAAAGTAGTATTCGTACCGGCCCACAGCTCTCCTTTCATGAAAGGCAAACTGTACGTGAACGGTAATTACACTCTCTTTGACCAGATTAAGCACTTTCCTGGGTGTGTTTCAGAAATTTATTTTGTGTGAAAATAGCGAAACGATTTCACTGCAAAAGAAACGGGAAGAATAATTGTTAAAAGTAATTCAACTTTAGTTGATTTCCGGTTGATTAAGATGGTTTCTATAATTAGCCAAAGAATAGTCTCTAATGGGACAGGAATTTTGAGAGGCCAGCGGCACATACTTGGAGAAAATTGACCCAAGTACCCCTCCCCCCCCCAGAGATTAAGTCCATGTCATCGTCGAATTTTAAGAGTTGATATAGACGATCAACTTTCTATTTCAAAGAGTGTTCCTATTCTTTCCAGCAAACGGCAGCATTCTGTGAATTATAGGTATAGCGGAAAGCGGAAAATGCATGAATACTTCATGAAAAAAAAAATTCTATGTTCATCCTGTCAGATGATTAAATCTATATTATGAGATTACACTGAACCCGACCCTCAAAAAAAGCGAGTTAACAATCGTAATTTTTTTCCCAGTGACCTTAAGATCTAAAGCTGGTTATTATTACGGTCAGGTTACACTTAATCAACCCTTCGAAATGGAAAACACAACGAGATTAACAGAGACGGTGAATGCCGAGCTTGACATTCAGTAATCAATAACGAATGAATGCACCTGGCGACCATCCCAATCGTCCCAGTTAATGGGTGCCCCTCGAAGAAAATGTCTCATATCTTTTTATTCTGTTTGTGAATACAAATGATCGATCTTGTGGGCCAAAAAGGCTTCTACAACAGTCTCGTTTCCAGATTCCGTAGGCCCGTATGGGTGTAAACCGGGATTGCCTATGACGTCACGAGAGCAGAATCGCAACATCGCGTGCTAATGATAACCTCTCAGCAATATCAAAAATTCCGATCTAATTATTCCTTAAGCCGTTGAGGTGATTGTGTCAAAACCGCCTTAGATTGTGCGTCTGGAGGTATTTTTCCGCGACGAACAGTCCTTTCGTCGAGAGCTCTTCTAGGAAGGAAATCACGCTTTGTAGGGGATAAATAAGGGGAAATTGTTTGCCGATAACGAAACGAGAAAATTTCAACGCGCCGCTGAGTTCCGCCCAATTTCCGTTCAAGCTGTGACAACTGCATTACAAAGCCAAACTCTATTTCCCCTGAGGCATTGGTGTAAATAGCATACCGGCTTTCATTCTTTTGGCTGTTTTTCTGCTGTTAATGAACCGTACCATTGCACAAAATACCTTTCAGCAAATTTTCACATTGAATTAAGTCAGCCACATTCGTGTAGTTATATGCAAAGGCACAGCGACTCGGGGCGGAGGGAGGGGAGGCAAATCACATATTTTGTTTTCATTTATGAATCAAGTCATTGTTT